TAGAATAGAATAGAATAGAATAGAATAGAATAGAATAGAATAGAATACTTTATTGGCCAAGTGTGATTGGACAACAAAGAATTTGTCTTGGTGTAAATATTCTCAGTATACATAAAGAAAAGATACATTTGTGAAGAATCAAGAATCATAACGTACAACACTTAATGATAGTCATAGGGTACAATCAACAATCAAATCATACTAGGAAACAGTCAATATCAATAGTAAGGATACAAGTGACAAAGTTACAGTCCTATAATCACTAGTGGGAGGGGATGGGTGATAAGGAGTGATGAGATGATTAACAGTAATAGTAGTGCAGACTTTGTAATAATTGAATAGTGTTGAGGGAATTATTTGTTTAGCAGAGTGATGGCTTTCGGGAAAAAACTGTTCTTGTGTCTAGTTGTTCTGGTGTGCAGTGCTCTATAGCGTCGTTTTGAAGGAAGGAGTTGAAACAGTTTATGTCCGGGATGTGAGGGGTCTGTAAATATTTTCACAGCCCTCTTTTTGACTCATGCAGTATACAGGTCCTCGATTGAAGGCAGGTGGGTAGTAATTGTTTTTTTTCTGAGTCCTAATTATCCTCTGAAGTTTGTGTCTGTCCTGTTGGGTTGCAAAACCAAACCAGACAGTTATAGAGGTGCAGATGATAGACTCAATAATTCCTCTGTAGAACTGTATCAGCAGCTCCTTGGGCCGTTTGAGCTTTCTGAGTTGGCGCAGAAAGAACATTCTTTGTTGTGCTTTTTTGATGACATTCTTGATGTTAAGTGTCCATTTTAGGTCATGTGATATGGTAGAACCTAGAAATTTGAAGGTCTCTACTGTTGATACTGTGTTGTCTAGTATTGTAAGAGGTGGTAGTATGGGAGGGTTTCTTCTAAAGTCTACCACCATTTCTATGGTTTTGAGTGTGTTCACTTCCAGATTGTTCCGGTTACACCATGAGGCAAGTTGTATAACCTCCTGTCTGCAGATTCATCGTTGTCTCGAATGAGACCAATCACTGTTGTGTCATCAGCAAACTTCAGTATTTTAACAGATGGATCGTTTGAGATGCAGTCATTGGTATATAGGGAGAAGAGAAGTGGAGGTAGCACACAGCCTTGGGCGGTGGGGGGGGGGGAGGCTGTGCTGATTGTACAGGTATTGGATGTGATTCTGGCTAGCTTCACCTTTCATTCCTAAATCTAGGAAGTTAGAGGACTAGCTAACTCAAGTTGGTCCCGGTAAATGCCAGCTCCATTTGTAACAAGACATCAGTCATCTGTGGTGGGTGAGTTGTCAGTCTCAGGCAAAGACATAGCATTTTGTTTAAGAATCATCTACTCTTCTTCCTGGCAGGACCATTTTATGTGGTGGTAGTCCTTGTTACTGGGCTTCTTTAGGGAAAGATAAATTGGAATTATCTTTGTTTTGGAGCCGTTGGTGGGTGATCTGGATATGGAGAATATGACAGTGTGTACTTCGCCACAGTCAAATCACTTCCTTGTTCAGGTGAGGGTTATTGCCATCTGGGAGCTCCATGATATAGGATAGTCACCTTAGAGACCTCATAGATCTAGATGGTTTCCAGGAGATTTTCCCTGTATTGTTGCAGGTAGCCATTGCATTCAGGAAGATTATGGTGAAGAGTTGTCTCTTAAGGTCCTTATAATTAAAATAAGTAATTCTGAAGATGTATTTATTTTCTGTGTCTTTATTTGTATTATAAAGTAAAATGGACACAATGTAAATACTTATATTTCATAATCTAAGTTATGTTATTAAATAAATGAACACATCCATTTTTCTTTTCAGAATTACAAGTCCTGTTTTAAAAAAAGATCACAACAATTAAGGAAACTGGATAAAGCATACGAGATCTTAAATAGTTCTGGTTTGAACTTTTTAACTTGGCCTCAGTATACCAGTACTTATATGTTCAAGCTGATAATAGTGGATCCAAATTTCAGGTTAACTTTTAAAATTTGATTTGAAAGTGATAGATATTCATTATTTTTAACCTCAAAGGAAGATTATTATTATGCATATTACACAGAATGCTTCCACAATGTTTAGTGTGAAATTACTTTTATTTTATTAATTCACTTTTTACAGGGTATCTACAAGTTGTCGTCAAATGGTTATGGTTATGTGTATCCCTATAGTACTATATATTTAATTTATATAGCTATATCTCCATCTCCATATCTATTCAAATGGTGACCTGTTCCCCTCTTCCCAACAAACACCACAATTTCACTTAGCTCTAACACTGGAAGATCAGAGAATGGGTGGTTATAGTGCATAGGTTTACAACTGTAATTTAAACCTGTATCACCAGCCTTTTCCTCTATAGCCTAATAAGGGGGCAGGGAGTCTGTCAGTAAGCGACAAAGGAAAAATTATTTGCAAGGCAAGCTTTAAGCCATTTATTTTTTCCTTCTTTTCACCTTTTTCCTGTGAAGAGGTGTGGTTTTTCCCCCTGTAGTCACTATAGGGCAAAGAAAAATCTCCATAATAGACTAAGGGAGAAAAATCTGCTGTCATTTACAGAATATCCCCTTAAAGTCTAAAGAAAAAAAATCTCTATTCCTTTGGGAGAAAGTTCTCCTCTTCTCCTAGTCTTAATCCTGCAAAATCCACTCACATTCTCACAGAACATTGCTGGAAAAATTCCATTCTCCATAACAGCTGTTTGGATATTTGGAGAAAGCTATAATGTCTCTTTGTTATCTTGTCTTCTCCAACGTCTCCAATTTTTTCTTGTGTGTGATTCCTTCCTGGACCTTCACTATCTTGCTTGCTTTGCTCTGCCTACATCCTTACTAAAACAAGTTGCTAAGATTTGAACACAGCTTGTTGAAGAAAACTCCTTATTTTGTGTTATTCACATTTATATCAGATGCAGCAAAGATATTCACTGATTTTCAGTGTAGCCTGACCAGTGCAGAACAGAGATCGGGGGTCCAAATTTCAGCTTGTTGAACAAAATTCATTATTTTGTGCTATTCACATTTATATCAGATACTGCAAAGATATTCACTGAATTTCTAGATGAGAATTTTCATACTGCACACATACTGCCTTACATTTGCATGCACTGCTTCCCACTATGATCTTCCTTGTTCTATATTCATATCTTTGATTTTCTCTACTCAGGCTATTTAGTTAATATTAAACTTGTTGGTTTCGACTCATTATTCCAGTTTCTTAAGATACCGTTATTAAGATAATTTTGATATGTCTTTTAACGGAACTTGCAATTTAGTTCCAATTTTTCACTTGCACTTTTGTCTTTCCTGGTTTCAGCTTGTTCTCCCACCTCCAACCCATTATCAAACTTGGGCAACATGCAACATTATTAACATATACTAGTGAATAATATACTAATAATCAACCATATTTAGAACTTGTTTTCTGCATTTTAGGCATAATCTTCCTGGTATATTATGACAACTGTTCTTATACTTTGTATACAATTTTATATTTTATACTACAAGACTTAACAATGTTTTTTAACTATATTTTATGGTCCAACCATACTTTGTAATGCATGGGAACTGTCTAGATAGGGCTGTCAAACTACCGGCTTGTGGGCTGGATGTGTCACATGCCCACACTCAGTTCAGTGAAGGGGGAAAAAGTCCCAATGTCACATCATGCCACCGTGACGACGTGAGTTTGACATCCCTGGTCTAGATCATTTTTTTTTAATAAACTTTATTTACAAGAATTAAAAACATACAAATTTAA